AAAGAGATTCTAACCAGTGATCCGTTTACTACAGAGGATAATTTAAGACAGCACTGTGGTTGGTGTTAATCGGCAGTAAAAGCCGTCATTTAGATCGCCTTCTCGGCTCCGTTTATCCATTATTTCATTATTTAATTTCATATCCGTTGTTGAACGGCTGACCCAATTTTTCAATTTACGACTCCTAATGTTCCGTTGTAACTCCGTAGACTTGTAATTTTGAACTCAATCCAGAATACGAGAGAACTCCTGGACCAAGTTTTGGGAGAAATTTGCTTTTGTGGAGGACTTTTTTATTGGACTAAAATGCATTTGCGAAACATGGAGAGGAAAATCCCGAAACTTCCCACTGTTAGCCTGACGGAAAAGAGACTCTACCCCATAATCCAACCACTAAGGATATTTTATGTCAGCTCTGTGGTTGGTGCGTACCTGGTGTGAAATTCATTTCGACCTGCTCTCGCTAGGATTTGAAACCGAATTACTTCATTTGGAGGCTAGTGAGGTATTCTCTGAATCACCAAGGCTATTTTTATCCGTATAAACATTGAAATACTTACACAGATTTAATCATATATCTAACGTATAATAAAACTATTGCGTGTATCTGAGGTATTCGATAAAGACCACCCTAAATGTATATTATTAGAATCCTACTCAAAAATAAAGTATACATAATAAAGTTACAAACTAATATTTTAGGCAGTAAAAAAATAATAAAAAATGGCAATTTAAGAAAGCGAATGTACGAAAAAAAATGAAGATTACGTTGGGGTGTTAAAAAATTATTATTACTAACATCTTCATGTCTTGACAGGTAATCAAACGGGTTTAGATGTTATATATATATCCACGTCCTATTATTATGATTTGTTACTGTTTGAAACTTGCTGCTGTCACTGTTTTTTTTCTTCCTTTTGGTGGGTACCAATTTGTCGAGGACAAACAACAAAAATCCGTGGCGCATAATGCCAATCGAAACGCCAACATAACTCCGTTGGCGCCGAAACTGTGGTGGATAAGATTTGACATCAACGACAACTCTACGCACAAACAGCTTTTTCGTTCCTGAATTAAATAGATACACCACAAAAAGAAATTGAAAGAAATGTTATATTCCTCAAGAACAAATTATTAAGATAAGGCTTCTAACAGTCCTTATATCCCCCTTTGCTGATCCTACGGGTGTTTCTTTCGATGCACGAGTCCCTTAGGGTCCGCCATGTATAAGGGGGCAACCACTTTTTCGCTTCTCACTCTGCTGACCCTACGAGTGGTCCTCTTTGTGTCCAAGCCCCAGTCCTGTAGTAGGGTTCCTGTAGTAGGTATCATGTAAAAGGGGGCAACCACAAGTGATTCGCTGCTTACAAATTTTCGTTCGTGGGATATCTATTTCATTGAGGAATGAAAAAGCTGTTTGCACATAGCCTTTTTGCAGCTAAAATTGACGTGTTAGAATTATGTAATTGGTTGTATAAAATTACCTAAAATTCTGAGTGTGAATGGTTACTTGTTTCATCAAAGATGTCAGATAAAAATTGTTTTCAGAGTACGTAGATGCTTTCTTGGAACAGGTAGAGACTGCTATAAAATCTGGAAGAATACATAGGGATCTTATTTTTTTCGTAATAGTCATTTAACAGTCGACCCAATTTTAGGTCGATCTTATTATCATCAATGAGTTTAAGATTAAATAAATAATCCCAAGAAAAGGGAGCAGTAAGTCATTACTTTAATACTTGATTATTAACTTCATTCGCTAAAAAAAATGTACAAACTGGAAATGAGAACCAACGCGTTTCACGCGTTTAAAAATAGGCACCCATTTTCAAGACTTGCCAGGCGGGAATGTGAAGAAACAAAAGTAAATTGAAATAAAAAACGTAGAGTTGCCAACGGAAAAAGGGAAATTAAAGGTTGAAAGGCCTGTGGTTTTTCTAGTTTCCCTTCCGCGCTGCGGTTCTCTCATGGGCTTCCACCCTATCGCCGGTTACATCACAGCAGGCACGTTTAGTTTTTCCTTACAAAAATATAAGGTGTTTTTTTAGGCTGTTGTGAGGTTGACACGTGTAAAAAAAAACACCTGAGATAAAAAATGAGGTTGTGTTTTGGGCCAAAAATAAACTAATTAATAAACCTCAATTTCAACCTCATTTAAATCTTATAAAATTAGCCTCATTTAAATCTCATAAAACCTACCTCATTTAAACCTCATAAAATCAACTTCATATATAACTCAGCGATACTATTTGTTGAGAATTGGGTGAAATTATTCACACCTCAACTATATTTTTTTTGCTTGAGGTGTAGAAAAATAACCTGTATACCTCAACAATAACCTCTCTAAACTGGTTGTTCTGAAGTAGATTTCCGTCAACCTAATAACAACCACAAGTGTGAAAAAAACAACTTCACCTTAAAACACCTCGGGAGGTTTATCTTTTAGGTTTTGTTTTTCAAGTCTACTTCAAATAAACCTCAAATCAATCTTACCATCTCAAAATAGCCTCAAATAAACCTCAAAAACACTTTAAAGTTTTGTAAGGAAACACATAGACTTTTCTCCATATCTGCATATTTCGTGTATTTATTGTTCTGTGCATTTAGAGTCCTTCATTTAATTATTATTTTATAATCGGCGTTGAACAGCTGACCGAAATCTGAGTTTACGACTATCAATAATTCAATTATCGTAGACTTGTAATTTTGAACCCAACCAAGAAGACTTGAAATATCCTCAGTCGNATAGGAAAAGTACATCCAAATCTTCAAACAAATGCATAAACCCCAATTAAATACGAGTTGTTTTTCAAAATAAACACTATTATTCTCAAGGTGATTTTAATCAAAAAATGTTTAATTAGTAATTAACTAAACATTAATACGAGCAAGTAATTTTCTTTGAAGTGATAAATATGATATGTAAGTTTCCGAAATATAACCCAAATGCAAATTAGCATATTAATTTCCTTCTACCCAAAGTGAAGTTTAACTTGCAAATTCAATGTTTTTATAAAAATAAAACGAAAAAAAAACCAGACACATTAGTTGAATTTTCTAAACTTTTAGTTTCTGTAAACAAAATAATGACTTTTCATAAATTAAGTTTTTCATCGTTTCTTTTTCCTTGCTGATGTTGTTTTAAAATGCTCATCTGTGAGAGTTGATTAAATATTTTCGAGTCCTTTTTTATGCGCATTTTCGCAGGAGTTAAAAGAAGAAAAAAAACACATTTTTAAAGAGAAAGTTCAGCTGAATATAATTCGGTTTTCTGAATGAGTTCAACACATTATGCATGGCTTAGTTTTGATAAATTAAGTTATTTTTTTCCATCAAGAAATATTTTCTTCGGGACATTGCTGAAATAAAAGTAATTGTTTCTGTTGGATCTCTTCATATACGCATTATTCAGAAGTATGTCCACAAGTTTTCCCTTATTTTACTTATTTTGGTGTTTGTTTCTATTTTTTGACTGATTGTTTTATTTATTAGACTGTAAGTTTATTCCATATATAAAGCGGGAATTAACTGAAAATGTGCTTATGTAAATTCAATATGTAATCAATAATGAATTTTGTGGAAAATTTTATAAATTGAAATTTTTAACCTAAAATAATTACATGGCTGTTTCTAATCTTCCGTGATATTTAAAAAATGGAACAGTTTCAAACAGTATTAGAAAGCAAATATTGTTAATATGGCATTAATTTCCGGTGCTGTGACTCAAAATTTACATTTTACAACAGAAAAAAAAGTTGCTTTGGAAGATTTATTTCTTAGTCATTTTAAACTGAGTTTAATACGACATTTGAGCAAATGCTCATTAGCGTGATATTATTTTAATGTATTAACACATAAAATATCGGCCCAACCAATATTTTTCATTCAGAATAAATCGGAATTAAGCGGAACATTGAGAATAAATAGTTTTAACAGTTTTAAACAGTATTAGAAAACAAATATTGTTAATATGGCATTAATTTCCGGTGCTGTGACTCAAAATTTACATTTTACAACAGAAAAAAAAAGTTGCTTTGGAAGATTTATTTCTTAGTCATTTTAAACTGAGTTTAATACGACATTTGANATATGTTTACATCACATAAAATATCGGCCCAACCAATATTTTTCATTCAGAATAAATCGGAATTAAGCGGAACATTGAGAATAAATTAATAAGTGACTATCTGATTCTGTTGGTTTCTTTATTTTGAAACTTAGTGTCAAAAAGTGAAAATAAAGCATACTATGTCGATGAAAATCGTTCCGTTATTTAATATAAATCAAACAGTAAAGCACAATTTTGTAACCTTGCTATCACGAGATGATTTCTGAGCCTAAATGAAATCAACCCCATCATCTCGGGATTGCCGGACACTCTAATTTGATATAATCCTAACAGTAAAGCACTATTCTATAGTTTTTCTATTAGAATGTAGTATAAAGCAGGCAGTAAGGAACAATTCTATAGCCTTGCTATCACAAGATGAGCTGCCGACATAGATGAAAGCAATCTCATTCAGAACACATCTCGGGATTGTCAGACACTCTAGTTTGATATAATCCTTACAGCAAAGCACTATTCTATAGTTTTGCTATCAGAATGTAGTATAAATCAGACAGTAGAGCTCGTTTTTATAGTCTTGATGTCATAAGATAGGCTCCTGACATAAATGCAGCAACCTTATTGAGAACTCATCTCATACTTCCAAATAACGTATAAAATCTCAGCTCAAAATATTATTAAGATGTCATATATATGGACTTGCCAATATCATAGGTTTGTCATATAGGTTTACATTGGTTGCTAGCTGTAGAGTTCAAGACATTGTGCCCCACCATAGGAAAAATAATAAGGGCAAAAAACTGACTGCTGAAAAGCTAAATTATAGCTATAACCTGAAAATAAACATTTTTTGAATGAAATTAAAGAATTTCGCATAATCTTTACGAGTATTTAAATTAGTACAAAAACTCAAGTGAAAAGAAATTACAAAAACAATCTTTTTCTAATGTAATAATAATTTTAATAAAATTCATTGTGATTGCATTCAGTTTTTCTGTTTATTTTTCTGACAATTAAGCTAGAAAATAAACACACTGAACTTGCCGTTCTCACTTAAACTTCCAGCTAGTATTGCATTTAATTAAATACTCGAGATATTTTTTGATGTTGACCTAAAATTCGATCTACACGCGCAGTTACTTTACGAATCAATAGATGGAGCTATTATGAAATAGTATGGAAGAATATACCAGGCAATGGTACTCAATCTGAAAAAAAAAAGAAAAGAAAACATTACTGTACGGTATAACCAAAGAATACTAAAAGAAGAAGTACAGCTCTTCGAATACGTAACTAACTGGGGGAACTGCTCGATGCTGCAGGCTATGTCAGAAAAACAGCTTGCAAAGTAAGGAACATGCTCAAATTTAGCACACGTACTGAGATCCAGCGCATGCGAAGTAAAGTGAAAGTCAGGAGTTAAGTCACCTGTGAACCGATTGCTGGACCGGTCAACATGGTTGCGTACTCCCGCCAACCACCATGTAATTATTTCTTTCTATGTCAAACTGTGTCAGCAGATTTAATCAACATGGATGATATAAACGTATTCGCAAAGAAATATTTTAATTAAAAGTAGAGTACTGTTTTTCAATAGGCTAAAAATACAGAAAAAAGCAAATATTAAGAAGAGAGAACTTTTCCTCTCTTCCCCAACACCTGTGTGGTTGGGGGAAATGAGGGTACAAACCCGTTTTAAGAACCTCTGCTGCTCCACCCCTAAATGCTGTTTTTCCCTTTATATGCAGTAAATGCACCGAACATTTGGAGACGGGTTTACGTAATGTCTATGGAAGTTAGCCTTCTTCAACTACGTGTACTATTTGGTATAAGGGGCAAATATATACATTGTAGTGGTACTAAGCGAGCAAAACTTGAAAAAAAGAGGGGAAAACACCTCAACTATTAAAAAAAGTGAAATGTCTATTTATTGCACATGCAGATCACTTTACTGGTATGATACCTATTCTTGTTTTATTTTTATTGAAGCACAAGGCAAACCTTCTTCGTTACGCTGGACGTCATAAATTTTAAAAAAAATTTTAAACTGTATCGTTCATAATTTTGTGTGCTTAGTAAAATTATGAGCGAAACTTTGAACAAAATTATGAACGAATTTTTAACATGGGAATTCATAGAAAATAATTTAGCAAAAAGTTTTTGAACGCAATGAAAAACCTACAAACTGCACAATTGGAGTTTTAATACTCTAAAAATTAAACATTCAGAAGCAGAGAAAAAAATTGAAAAAACAAGGAAGAAAAATAATCAAAACAAGTCTTAAAGGGTTTTTTAATGTATTAAAAACTGCTTTAAACCTCAAAAATGTTTTACTTAAATTGTTGATATTCACTAAAACGTCGCAAAATATTCTTAAACATTGTTCCGAAAATAAACCGCATATACTATGCAATTCGAAATATCATTTCTATGGACAGTTATTCAGATGTATCGAGTTATACAGTAATTCCAGAGTCCAGTTATAGAATTTACCGACCTAGAGTGATACAACGTGTATTTCCCAGGGAAACATACATTTTACACTTGATTCTCTATCAAATGCGTAGTAAAATGTTTTACTATTCGACTGCAAGAGAGAGCGTTACTCACCGTAATCAGACCACGCAGCTTCGAATGTTTTGTTAGAATGTTGCAAGTTTAATTCTATTTAATGCACGTACAAATGTGACACAATTCAGACGACGTTATTCACGAAGTTGGATGCAATGAATATAAGTTTCGTTGATATTGTTTCTAAATTTGCACATCTATTGAGTTGATAATATGTTTACATCTAGAGTTCCTTTCATTCAAATAGTATTCATGAAAGGACAGTATACATGACCGCACACTAAACTGTAAAAGCTATGCATTTAAATCAAGACATTTATATTGAAGAATATATGCAGTAAAACGCAAATAAACCTTTAAAAAGTAAATTTTTAAAAATAAAAAAATTATTTTAATTTAAATACTAATAAATCTGCATCTGAATCTAAATATATATTTATGTCATGAACTTAATTTTTATTTATCTGAGTTTATAATAAGTATTCAACTATACCAGGTGTATGTATAGAAGATGATACCTGGTATAGTTGGATATTTATAGAACATATTTAGTACCAACTATGAGATACTTATACTTATAGTTGTATACTTAGACCCGGCAATTTTGGGCAATTTTCGCCGATTTTCCTACAATAGATATACTATGACAAGCACTAAAAATTATTATCGTTCTATCAATTAAAATTATTATCGTATTTAACAATTTTAAACAATGTATTAATCGAAAAATAACTTATATATCGACGAAAAGTTTTAAACAACATTATAAACAAAAATGGCAGGTATGAATTGTAAGAAAATCCTGCGCGAATATACTGGAAGCTATTTAACAAATATTTTATTTAAAATTGGAGAATTTGAAAAGGGAAATCTTTTTAAAAAATAATAAATATCCGCACGGAATTTAGAAGTTTTACGCAAATAAAACTATCTACATTGAAAAAGTAAAACTGTTTAGATTACTTGCCAAATCAGAACCGCTAAATGACGTTAAGAGGAATGGTAACTGACACACAGCTTTAGTACGGAAAATCAAACCCCGATCAAAGCCATGATAAACAAGCATCTAGAAACTACACCGAATGGGAGGCTATTTATTTGTGAAATAAATAAATGTGCTAAAACAACTGAAAGGAAGTAATTTTATAGAAATACGCTGGTAACACATGATATATTCCCCGTAATGAGACCTCGACCGTTAATAGGACCACATTTTCATGTGTTTTAATAAAAACTTACGTAATTTAACCTAATTTGTTACTCTGTTCTCAATGCTTAGCAGAAATTTTTATATTGATGATTATACTTTCACTGTTTTATTGTTGTAAAGGCATTAATAAAACTTCAATTATTCGCTATTTCATGTTAGATTATAAGCATAAATATTTGAAAAAATTAAAAGTAATGTATCAATATATTCCTACAGTTTCAGTTGTTGAAGGCGAGAATTACTAAACACACACATATATATTATTTTACTTTAAATCTAAACTGCATTTTGCTACACGCCGGTTAGTTTGTTTACTGCTTTCTTTTACTTCATGCTCTTCTTTAACAAAATTTGCGATATCGATCCATATAAAGAATAATTTTTATCTTAGGATAATTATTCTTTATTCAGAAATATCGCATTAAATTACTCTAATAGATGTGTCTTGAGGAAGACTATTGGTTTTTTACCATTTATAATTTTTTCTTTATATTATTTTATTTTATTNATATATGTGTATATTATGATTATTATTATTTTTATTATTATTTTACTGTTAAAGATGCTCTGTTAAGACTTCACTTATTATCTATTTCATGCTAAACCAAAACCAGATTTCAGGACGAAACAAGAAGCATTATATTCTTACAATTCTTATGATTTTATAGTTAGTAACGAGAATTATTGGACAAAAATGAAACAACACATTCTTATTGCTTTATTGCTGAAGACGCTCGAGTAGAACTTCAATTATTCGTTATCCCACGTAATATCAAAAGCAGAATTATTGGACAAAAATGAAAAACAATGAAACTACGTTGTCATAACCTGACGCTTGTAACATTTTCCTAAATTAATTATTCAAAAGCACGCAAGGTTAATCTTCTACTCAGTTATTAATAGTCAGTTTTCAATAAAGTCCTGAAGTCATGTTCGTGTCCGTCCAACCATAAAATGTAATTAAGACATCGAAAAGAGTTCGTCCTTCCTCTTCTATCGTCAGGACAGCCATTTATCATTTTTTTCTAACTCAATTGTCGAATACACATCACGAAATGAAGAAAATGTAAATAAAAAATTTCAAGAAAAGAAAAAGAGAGCTATTGTACTTACTTGCATATTCTAATTCATCTCGGGGAACAGGAATATTTTATCCCGGAAAAGTGGAGTTGAATTTCTTCCTTTTATATTTATCATCGTCCGTGGCACCTTGTTGGCAAATAGTCTAGAATTTTGTAGCACACAAAATGGCGAGTGTTCTGAAAAGCAAGACGGATAGGGGATATAATTTTGGTTTATTCATAAGAAATATGGGTATGAAGTAAGTAGGCAGTAAAAATTCTGCGAAGAAAAATGAATAAATCCCTCTCTGACAAAGGGTATTCATTTTACGTAATATATATTAATATTTTTACAATTTAAGGTTGTCAAAATAGATTTATGAAACAGTATGATTGAAGACATGAAGAAATGAGAAGAAAAAAATTATTTTATTTAATATCAACATAAAAGTTGAAATAAATTTTTCCAACACTTTTATCATATTACAAAACAATTGAAGTATAACAATACTTACAGTGAATAGTACGTTGTCTACGAGCTCTATATCCAATATCTATAAAAATAACGGCATTGAAAAGCAATATAACTAAGATTATAAAAGCGAAACATGTCATAATTAAGTCTGACGAACAAAAGTAAAGATAATACTTCTGTACTTTGAAATCATTGTACATCATTTATTATCATTTCATAACTGAATATATAGTTCAAATGATGACGAAAACAGCAAAAAATATTACTATAAAATATTTTAAATTTATTTAGCCCCTTAATCCATCTATGCTCTAGTTTTGATAAAATTTTTATATTAATTTAGATCAAAATAAGAGAAAATTGTTTTATTTAACAATTTAAGAGTTTATGGTTATCAAATACAGCTTGAAAGAATCATTGGTGTCTTAATTTTTTTTGCGTAAAAGGTAAATTATTCCAAGCACGGCTCACATCCATACAATAATTTTTCAATTGTTCTCTTACTTGCGAAGTTTATTAGATATAAGTTATTTAGATCTAACAGAAAAGCATATACATTATTGAAACTTCTTTAATTTACAAAATCAATTATTGATGAATTTTTGAAAAGCATGAAAAAGAACTCTATCTGCTTTTTCCTTGTATTTCAATTTTTGTGCAAATTAAAAACCGATAATCCAAAAAATCTTTTTAGTAACTAACAGACTGTTGTTTTTTAGGTTTTTATAATTAAAAAAGCAAAGAAAATACATTTTTGTTTGTTAATAGAGTGTCGGAATATATATATATGTAGGTTCAAAGGGTCTGCGTCAAAGGGTTAAAGAGCAACTCTTAATATTTCAATAACAGTTTTGTATCAACTTTAATTTTAGTTAAATGAACTGGTAAATAACATAAATATACCGCTTGTAAACTTATTTTATATTCTAATTTATACTAATAATAGGAAAACTGTATCATGGATATTTGAGTTCAAATTCTTCGCTTTGAATTCATCATCTTTCATGTCATCTTATTGATAAATTGTCTAGAATTTTGGTGAATACAAAATGACGGTTTTGAAAAGTAATACGAGTAGAGGATGAAATTTCGATTTTTTCGACTATAGATACAAAGTACGTAAGGAGTTAAAATTCAGGAAATAAAATGAATAAATACCTCTTTAAGGAAAAGTTCTCATTCTAAATAATATGTAATAATGTTATCCAAATTTAAGTTAGGCAAAATAGCTTTCGGTAAGATTATTTTTGAAGTGATACGAACTGATTAATAGATGAAGCTATATTTTACTCAAAGTCTCGCTCAAAATTATTTTAATACTCTTATTTTTGATATTATGTTTTTGTAACTTTGAACAATATTTACATCAAGAGATGGTGAATTTCATNTATATATATATATAAAGAGAGAGGGAGTGAGAGAGAAGGAGAGAGGGGATTGTGTGGCGTATATTAGTTTTCTAATTTGTGAATGAACAAGTTTCAATACGTGCATTATGTGTATCATATAAATATTTGGTAATTCTCAATTTTCTCATTTTATTTTTATGCTTACTCTTTTTAAATTTGTGCATATTTATTCATAATCTCTTAGAAAAGATATGTTCTTTTGGTAATGAATGCTTAGTTTAATTATTTGTGAACTTATCTATTTTCTTTTTTATTTAATGAAATTAGTTTATTTACAAAATTAAATAGTAATACTGCAATAAGAGCAGATCTCGACTATCCTGGGACAAACTAGTTTGTTTATACAGTCAAAGGAAATATAAAGTTTGTTTCTATTGTGCTCTTATTGTGTATTCAGGTTATTGTTCAGGCTTAAATTTAAAACTATTCTTGAAGTATTTTTACTTCTCGGCTTTAATGATATTCTTCATAAGCAGTAGTATAATAAAGAGTTTTATAAATTTTATCCCGTGGGTGTTTCCCGTCTTTTTAAATAATATTCTCTCATTTGGATAAATAATAAACTATTTATAGTTACATTAATTATTCTCCGATAACTTATTTTAGGTTTTTCATTTTACTTACTAGAGTATTTTAAAATAATTTCCATATTATTAAGTTTCAAAATAATATCCTGATGCTATTGATCTAGAATATTTTGATACCTGCAATTAAATTTGTTAGTGTTTATGCCACCGTAAATCTTGTTATAGTTTTGTATTGTTTTTTCAATCGATCTTAGTTCATTATTGTGTAAATCTGAATAAACTGAATTGTTATCTCTTAAATAATTTATAAACATTCATGATTGCACTTGTGTTTTAGTTTTAACAAAAGCATGACCAATGCAAGTGGATGAAGAACTGACTTTCATGAGTTGGTATATCTAATTTTACAACCCGATTTCATGCAGAAAACAAACATACTTGTGTTTATTCATGAGTACACATGCTACTGTGAATGACCGAAATTGGTGGTTATTGATTTACACCGTTGAATGTTGACAATCACATAGTCAGTTTGGTAAATGTTCGAAATATATACTACGTCTAGTTAAGTGCCACTGCCCGGTATACATTTGCCCGGGATACCCTACACTGATGTTTTTTTAAAGTTAAGTGCCCCTGCCCGATATGCATTTAACCGGTACACCGATCACTGATGTTTCTCCTAATCTATCCTCAGCAGATATTAATTTTTTATTTTTTTATTTATCGGTCTTGCCGATGAGCAGACCTTGTGCGTTCTCCAGAAGTGGTATCCACTCTTTCAGGACCACCACAATGGGTGAGATACCGTTGGTCATGTTAATTTGGACATCTAGTTTCGGCCACACTAGATGGCAGCACCGAGATTCTATTTTGATGCTAAAGTGCACTAGGAATTTAATTTTGCCGGAAATGCCAAGAGCCAATAAGGCACTCCAGGGATCTTTTACATGCCGCATAATCAAACGACATGGCCGCTGAGGATTATTAAAATATCGAATGAATGTAATAATATCAAATCGGCAACAAATATTTCGGGCATTTACCAAAGCGACTATATGATTGTTGACATTCACCGGTGAATGTCGACATGCTCTTGATTTCGGTCATTCATGATGGTAACGCAATCATTACATAAAATGTGAATATTAAAGTTACCCATAAGAGTTACGGTATGTTTTAATTCAGCATTAACAATCGACGCAGTTATCAACTCAGCTATCAACAGTAGGACCACAAGTTCAATAAATCAACAATATGAAAGGGTTTAAATATTTAAAGCTTAAAAATATAGTTTCAGCTGAAATATCTAACTTAGAAACACGTCCAGATGTTTTCCAGGAAAAACGACAATAGAAAAGAATGCTATTTCTACAAATAAATAAATATGTAAATAATAAATAAAATACATTAACTGAAGCTAAACATGTTACTTTATTCTAAATCTAAGCATCCAATAAAATAATTCTAGCTATATTAGGAATTATACGCTAAAAGAGAAAACTCAAGTTGCCAAAGTTGGCACCAGTATCCAATATTTGCTTCGAAGAATAAATCTAATATTTGCAGCTAATATTTGCATATAGTATTATAGGAATCTAATATTTCCGAGTAGCACAGTAATACTTGACTTACAAGTGAACAACATTAATAATCACTTACAATTGAGCATATGGAAACTTTTAAATCATTCAAATCTTCAATTGTGTGGTAGTTTTTAACGCACCTTATATTTCACCAGCAGCTGAATCGACTATTCCAATTGCTCATTTTTAGGATACCATAAATTAATTGGATAATTAATCATTTCCTAGGGTAATCTTGCGCTTTCGTAGCCAACAAAATTTCAATTTTTTTTCCAATCTTAGTGCCATAAGAGATAAAGGAGTTTTTATTTCGGCGTTAGATGATCGTAGAAATAGATAGATAGTTCAACAAACCTGCTTTTAAGATGACTTACTTTAATGCACGATTTTCTAGTTGGTATAAATGTTCGTCTCTCACAGATTCACAGATTTTGATCTTACGTGAATAAACTATTGGTCGGGCTTCTTATTATTGAAACCGGGAACACGATAGATAGAAATTTGGTTTTCGTCCCCTAAATTGGCTTTTTTTCAGCAAGTACAGCATAGTTTTAATTTGTTTCGGGATGGATCTTTTCATTTCCAACTTGAAATACTTAGAAATTGATATTTCTTTCATTGAATTTTTATTTGAAACTTTGATATTTCTTTTATTGAAATGTTTCAGTTCAATCGCAGCTTTTATTTTCTTTTTCATTCGCAAATGTTTAGAAACAAATTCGTTTATTCTTGTTTCAAGAGTTTTTTCCGTAATTCGTAACTCAATTATCGCTCAATTATTCGCAACTCAATTATTTTTTCTAAAAAGGGAATCGGATGATATTTCAGTATTTAACTCTGTTGAAAGACTGAATTCTTCAAGGTTACTTACCCATATACCAGTTTTTAACATCTTTTTGCTAACATAAGAAAGAATATCTATATACTTATTATAGCTGCACTTCTGCTTTTCATTCAATTTTTCTTTTTCCTCGGGCATGCCAGATAAATGTTTGCTTTTTTATACGCAAGATCGTGAAATGATTTCTTATTACAGCCTCCACATAACAAAAGGATAAAAAAAACTACAGAAACGGGAAATATATTATTGTGGTTCATTTAAACATTATTTTACTGATTACTTAAATAATTATTATGCAATATTATTTATGTAAAAAAATATAAAATCTCTTCTCTGAAATTATACGTAATGCAAATATCT